TGGAACAACTTGACCAGATTTAAGCGTATCCCAGACATACTTCTTTATTGTATCATCAGATGGACTTTCACCGATCTCGTCACGGAGTTTGAGAACCCAACGGATGACTTCTTGATTTGCAAGCCTAATTCAGAAGACAATAAAATTGGGATATTCATGAGAATGTTTCGAGAATTGCACGAGAAAGGTGTAATATGAGCTTGTTAGGAAAGGGGTCGAGGAAACGTTATAAGCGAAAAATAGCTTACCCATGAAGCGGACCAGCTAGCCCGTCCATAGCAGCTGCGAATGACAGATATGGATCGGAGAGGGCACTGCTGACAAGTCTCTAATAGAAGCAAATGATTAGGAATACGCCTCGAATACGGCTTGTGCATATCGATTATCTGATCGCTTATTTATAAATCGATTAATTTCGATAAACCTCACCGTAGTATGTGCAGATACATTTCCACCCTCATGATCCGAATGAATAGTCAAATACAATCTCAACAACTCGACAAACTGGGGATCTCCCGTAAATCCGAGCACATTTGCCAAATTATAGGAATAATCCCTGTCCTTTTCGATGGGCGAAACCTTTCCATCCTTGAACACATTTCTGTAAATTCTCCCAGCGATATTTGGCAACTTGGCAATCAAGTCCATAGCATCTTCGAACGCATAAGACCAATATTCGGACTTGTTGACTCCTCTCTGATAAGCAGCTGCAAAGTTAGACTCTTGCTGTAGTGCAGTGATAGCCAAAGAGAACTGACTCATAGGGTGAAGTGTATTTGGACAAAGATCAATAATCTCTTCGACAAATTTGGGTATATCTGACCGACCAGCCCATTCCAAAGACAAATGTTTCACTTGATCTTCAGTGGGAACTTCGCCAGTGGCTAATAACCAGAAAAGACCTTCGGGAAGAGGCTCTTCGCCACCAGGGGCCCTGGGGAGAAGTGTTTGACATTCTGGTATTGTTAGACCGCGGAAACGAATCCCTTCGTCCGGATCAAGAACTGAGCCTTCCCAGATTAGACCTTTAACGCCGCGCATGCCTCCATAAGCCATGTCTACCGTGACGGGACCGAGGGCCTTGTAGCCATGATCCTTTTTGACCTGGCGGACTTCTTCTTGTTTTATAGGAATTAATTCTGCTATTCTCTCTTTCAGACTCTGTATAAATGGGGGGAAAGCATGAAATAAAAATTTTTTGGGAAATAAAAATTTTTTGGAAAAAAAAAAGTTTTTAGTGACTTGAACATAAAGTAAGTTGGCAATGATGTATCGAAAAATATATTTGCTGTTTTATTATGTCAGAGAAAGATTATACTTTTTCCCCTGCTCTCTACTCGTATTAGATGCGCTTGATCACTTCACTCTTCGCATTGGCAGCGATTATTGTTTAATCGATCGAATCAATTACATGCACACGGTAAAATGTGTTTACATACTTGCGCTTTTGTTGTATGTAAATATCTGCCACCACTTCCGAATGCTCGAAGAGTATTATGTGATGCATTCCGAACGGTGAGGTACTGATAGACAGAATTGGTTTAGTATTTAAACATACTCAAGAGCAAGCAATTGTCATTGTTAGCATTAATGCGTGCATACTCGGAATGTTGTTCGAATTGAGGAGCAAGCCGTCGACATGTTGGAGTATTAAAAAATTCTCTCTTTTTTTTTTCTTCGTATTTTATTGCCCGATCGAGTATTTATCTTGAGGTTAGATGGATTACACGATGGATACACGATGGATTAATTGATTGATGGCGGGTACGTTGATAGGTTGATAATCAGGAATTTTGTTGATTTGTACGCAGAATCGATCTATCGGATAAATTTATAACACATTTGACGTCATATAGTCGAGGCTAAGCCACCACGGCATTGATTAATCCGTATCAAAAATGTAGATTAGATAAAGCTTCGGTTTAAGGTTACTTTGCAGACAAGAGATTAAAAGATCAGATGCACTCTATACATTTGTATCATACTTTGATCGTCCATCGTTACTAACTGATGAATCCTCAGTTCTCTAGTCGTGTGATCAATAAAGGACTCGAAATCTCAGCTCTCTAGTCGCATAATATTGAACACTGCAGTTAGAAATAACTGCTTAGCATTATAATCGCAACAGTTTTGGGCTCTTTCCAGACATCGTACCAGAGCAATGAGATACGACACTAAGAGTCAACTTATATTACTTTTCTTCTACTGAATATTTACAATAAGGGAGCAACCGTTGATTTAATAGATTAAGTCGGATCTCTCGCTTTAATAAATGATATCCCCGTTTACTCGATTGCATCTTTGGTCGGTCGTTATGCCTTCGTGTCGTTAGGTTATCATCTCGTGTTCTTAATCAACACTATTTATTCGCGCATAGATGACTGATGCAGGGGGAATTAATTCATAGCTCATATATAGCAAAACGATCTTCTTAGTATTACTGTCTCTCAATTGCATATGTGTCTCATACTATTACTATATGCGCTAGAATTTTGAGGCATCTGTTACTATTACGCTTACCAATAGAAATTGCAGTATCTATTGATCAACAAACATCAACTCGAATTTGGCATGACTTTGAAAAGAAACCCCCCACACAGGGTTTTGCATGACATCAGCACGTCTACACTTCAAACCTAATTAAATGGCGTTACAAGCTCGATTGAAGTTAAAATTCCGAAGGCAATCTGCAATCTTTCATTTGATAATCAACACCAATCATTTCGCTGATCCAGGGGAGATTGCACAGCATCAGATAATCATTTTCGCTAATCCAGGAGAACAATAAAGTAGAACGAACGCCTTATTAATACGAGTACCAAATGCTCGAGCGTTTGAAAACAAAAAAAAAAACGTTAGTAAGATGAACAGTCCACGATTTTGTTCACAAAGCGTCAGAGAAATGACTAGCCACCGCGTCAAATCGAACAGGCTCTAGAACCTAAACTGTTAATTATTAACAGACGTGTACTACGGAGATAAGAGGTGCGAATGCCATTTACATACTTCATAATATTATTAAGATGTAAAGGCCAAAAAACGAAAAAATCAATCCCTAACAATAAACTAATTCTACCACAGGCAGAAGGAATAAGTATACGTTAACTTGTTACGCTTGTAGGTACCCCGTACATCTTGTGTAAATAACATGTAAGATGTACATGTTATTTAATCTTCTAGCAGTTTTATCCTTACACACAAGTCATTTTGATAATCTAGCGATGCCCGCAAAAACTCAAAAAGAATTAGGTAAGCCGCTTTGCGAAAACGAACATCCGTTCAACCAAGCTGTAAGATAATGGTCTATATGCTTGGGGCATAGTTTGTTGCTGAAAAGCTGTGTGCCTGCATCCCAGACTGTTTAAGGTTGGTTATACGATATACCCCAGTTGATCTATCGCAGACATATATCAACAATACAATAAGCTGCTTGGTCTATTATTATTGGATGCACAGAATCAGAGCTGATGCATTCGCCGATAAGAAAACTACGAGCCATGTTCTTTTTAGCAAGACAACAACCAATTGCATAAGAACGTGACACAGACCACCTTACCTAGAGAGACTCTAAATTTGTGATCAGCAATGCTCCGGACAGTAATTGACGGGAAAGAAGAAAGGGTAGTCATCAAGAATAGAATAGTGCGAGAGAAAATAGAAAATGCTGCGATGTGTTTAGCTATAAAGTAGCACAACATTTACCCTTAAGGAGCACAAGGTAAGCACGCGTGTAGATGACATTGGCAAATGAAGTCTTGCATTACTGATTTTACCTGAATCAAAAGAGTGCTAAATCCCAATAAACATATTAAGAGAAAATTATTAATATTAATAATGTCAGTAATTGATTTGAAACATAATCTAACCCGAATATCTCCAAGTCCGATTCTTGCCTTTTCAAGGATTACCTTGACTACAACAGATATCCTAATACTACGAGCATGTTGAATGCTTAAGTAGAAATTACAATTAATCGATGTACCTGTTGTACCTCAGTTGGGGACCTGTCTCAGTCCAGAACCCAGTCACTCAGTCCAGAACTCAGTTGTCTCAGTCCAGA